TGGCTGGGTCACGTGATAGGTCTATATTCAGATTTCTGAGGTATCTCTATATTATCTTCCACAGTATCTCTACCAGCTTACATTTCTACCAACAGTGGTTTAGAGTACCTTTTACCCTACATCCTCGCCAGCCTCTGTTGTTTGTTGATTTCTGTATGAAAGCCATTCTAACCGAGGTGAGGTAAAACCTCATTGTAGTTTTGATTTCCATTTCCCTGATGGCTAGTGATCCTAAGCATTTTTTCATTCATATGTTGGCTATCTGGATTTCCTCTTTCGAAAATTGTCTCGTTAAGGGACCGGTGCCGTGGCTCACTTGGTTAATCCTCTGCCTGCGGTGACAGCATCCCATATGGGCGCCGGGTTCTAGTCCCAGTTGCTCCTCTTCCAGTCCAGCTCTGCTGTGGCCCCGGGAAGGCAGTGGAGGATGGCCTAAGTGCTTGGGCCCTGCACCCACGTGGGAGACCAGGAAGAGGCACCTGGCTCCTGTCTTCGGATTGGCACAGCGCACCGACTGTAGTGGCCATTTGGGGTGTGAACCAATGGAAGGAAGACCTTTCTCTCTGTCTCTCTCTGTCTAACTCTGCCTAATAAAAAAAAATTTCTCTTTAAGTCCTTTGCCCATTTCTTAACTGGGTTTTGTTGTTGTTCTTAAATTTCTTGAGCTCTTTATATATTCTGGTTATCAATCCTTTATCAATTGCTAGTTTGCAATTAATTTCTCCCATTCTATCAATTGCCTCTTCACTTGGCTGAGTGTTTCTTTTGCCATGCAGAAGCTTCTCAATTTGATGTAATCCCATTTGTCAACTTTGACTTTGCTTGCCTGTGCCTCTGGGATCTTTTTCAAGAATGCTTTGCCTATGCTAGTGTCTAGCAGTGTTTCCCCAATGTTCTCTAATAATTTGATGGTAAAAGATCAGAGATTTAGGTCTTTGATCCATTTTGAGTGGGTTTTTGTGTAGAGTGTAAGATAGGAGTATTGCTCCATACTTCTGCACGTGGAGATCCAGTTTTCCCAGCACCATTTGTTGAAGAGATTATCCTTGTTCCAGGGATTGATTTTTTTCTCCTTTGTCAAAGATAAGTTGGTTGTAGATGGCATGGGTTGATTTCTGGTGTATCTATTCCATTCCATTGGTCTATCCATCTTTTTTTGTACCAGTACCAGGCTGTTGTGATTATAACTGCCCTGTAGTATATCTTGAAATCTGCTATTATGATTCCTCTAGCTTTGTTTTTGTTGTATAAGTTTCCTTTAGCTATTTGAGGTCTCCTATGTTTCTGTATGAATTGCAGCATCATTTTTTCTGTATCTGAGAAGAATGTCTGTGGTTTTTTGATTGGTATCACATTGAATCTGTAAATTGCTTTTGGTAGTATGGATTTTATGATGTTGATTCTTCCAGTCTATGAACATGATAAATTTTTCCTTTTTTTTCTGATCTTTTGTATTTTTTTGGTTTCAATTTTGTTTATTCTCTAATTTTAATTATTTCTTTTCTCCTACTATTTTTGGGTTTGCTGTTTTCTAGATTTTTTTCTTTTTCTTTTTCTAGATTCTTGAGATGCATTGATAGCTCATTTGTTTGGTGCCTTTCAATTTCTTGATGTAGGCACCAATTGTTATAAACTTCCCTCTTAACATTGCTTTTGCTGTATCCCATAAGTTTTCATATGTTGCATTGTCATCTTCATTCATTTTCAGAATTTTTTTTATTTCTCTTTTGATTTCTTCAGTGACCCACTGTTAATTCAGGAGCATGTTGTTCAGTCTCCATGTGTTTGCATATGCTCTAGAGATTCCTAAGTTGTTTATTTCTAGCTTCATTCCTATGTGGTCAGAAGGTGCATGGTATGGTGTTTTTTGTTTTTTGTTTTGTTTTGTTTTCTTTTCTTTTTTAACTTACTGAGTCTTGCTTTATGGTCTAGCATGTGCTCTATCCTAGAGAAAGTCCCATGTACTAGTGAGAAGAATGTGTATTCTGCAACTGTAGGATGAAAAGTTCTATAGATATCCATTAGGTCCATTTGTTCTATAGTGTGGATTAACTCTGTTGCCTTGCTGATTTTCTGTCAGGTTGATCTTTCCATTACTGAAAACGGGAGTATTGAAGCCCCCCATTACTTTTGTATTGGGATCTGTGTCTCCCTGTAGATCCATTAACATTTCTGTTAAGTAGCCAAGTGCCCTGTAATTAGGTGCAAATACATTTATAATAGTCACAGCTTCCTGTTGAATTGATCCCTTAATCATTGCAATTTAACAATTTTTGTGTTAAAGTCTGTTTTCTCTGATATTAGGATGGCTACACCAGCTCTTTTTTGATATCTTTTTTCATCCTTTCACTTTCAGTCTACGTTTATTTTTGTGGATGAAGTGTGTATCTTATAGGTAGCAAATAGATGTGTTTTGTTAATCTATTCAGCTAGTCTGCATCTTAACAGGAGAGTTGAATAAAACTCAGTTGAAGTGTTGCCAGTCTGATTCTGGAGCTTAAAGTTTTAACTGACTTTTATCAACTTTTTAATTTACAGTAATTCATGTGAAGCATCTAAAGCTTGTCTGAGTAGTTGCTCAAAAAACGATAGTTTTATTCCTTCTCTTCTGATAAATTCAAAGGGAACTATATAAAAGTTAAAATGAATAGACAGGATCATAATCCAAACATATCTTGGGGTTTTAATTCTTTTTACATTGCTGAGCATCTTATTTTAATCTGACAGAATATTCCTATGCATATAAAATCAGTGTGAAGGACAGGCCTAGCAATTAAGATACTGGCAGCACCACATTGGAGTAACTGGATTCAATTCCTAGCTCAGACTCTTGATTCTGTTTTCCTGGAAACCCCAGGGAAGCAGCGATGTTGTCTCAATAATTAAGTTTCTGCCACCCATATGGGAGACCTGGATTGAAATCCCCACTCCTTGCTTCAGGTTTGACAAAGCCCTGGCCGTTGTGGGCATATAAGGGAGTTAACCAGTGGATAGGAGCTCTCAGTGTATAGTGTATTTGTCTGTTTCTGCCCCTCAAATAAATAAAAATTTAACAGAAAATCAGGGTATAAGAAAGCATAGCAGATGAGTAGAGTGATCTTATTTGGAAAATCTGTTTTCATTTTCATTGATAATTTGTCTTTCAAAAAACAAGTCACTTTTTAAGGACTGTGTGTGAAAAAATAGGTGTGTTTTTTATTGTATATTCGTCTAATGTCTTAGGTAACAAGCATTTGTCATTTTTAGATTTTTTTAAAGTCACCTTTGTAGTGTGACTTAAATGTGGATAAACTTGTTGTTCAGTATCTTAAAGTCCAAGTAACTTGCACACAATTTTATTGATGTAATAGATTTAGAAATTCAGCAAATTAAATGTTTCCTGATTATTAGTACATGTAGCAAAATCTTAGTGTAACATAGTTTACCATTGTTTTCTTCCTTCATCTCAGCATTATATGGGGATTAGTTCTATTATCTTTAGAAAAAATATTTTAAAATTATTTTAAACCTTATATTTCATCTAAGCATTTCTCATCTTTTTAAAAATAGGTAAATCAACAAACTGGGAAGATGATGGCTGGGGAGCATGGGAAGAAACAGAACCTCAAGAACCTGTGAGTTTTATAAATGCCTGCATGCTTTTTCATAGTGGCATTTTCCTTTTGTAAGGATGGTGACATTTCAGTGTTATGTTGACATCTTAAAATCTATGTCAGGGACATTCTTATGCTACTTAGTAACACTTAACTGTTAGATACCTATTTTTATTTTAAGTGTATTTGCTTATTTTTATTTATCTGAAAGGCAGGGCAACAGAGACAGAGATCTCCCATCTAGTGATTCATTCTGCAGATGGTTGCACTAGCCAATACTGGGCCAGAGAACGACTAACACCATCTGAATATCCCATGTGAGTGACAGGAACCCAAGTACTTTGCTGTCATCTTCTGCTTTCCCAGGGTGCACATTAGCAGGAAGCTGGATTGGAAACAGAGCTGAAACTGAAACCTGGACACTAATGGGAGTTGTGGGTATCCCAAGTGGCAGCTTAACTTGCTGCACCACAATCGTTACTCATCTGTGGATCCCTGTTTTTAAGGAATGTAATGACTTTATATAGCTAAGTGGGATAAGTGGAAAACAGTAGCTTTGAGATTCTTTATTCGGCCAGCGCCGTGGCTCACTAGGCTAATCCTCCGCCTGCAGCGCCGGCACCCCAGGTTCTAGTCCCAGTCGGGGTGCTGAATTCTGTCCCGGTTGCTCCTCTTCCAGTCCAGCTCCCTGCTGTGGCCCGGGAAGGCAGTGGAAGATGGCCCAAGTGCTTGGGCCCTGCACCCGCATGGGAGACCAGGAGGAGGCTCCTGGCTTCAGAACGGTGCAGCGCGCCGGCCATAGCAGCCATTTTGGGGGTGAACCAATGGAAGGAAGGCCTTTGTCTCTGTCTCTCTCTCTCACTGTCTAACTCTGCCTGTTAAATAAATAAAGAAAAAGATTATTTATTCTTCATGAGCTATTCTTTTTAGGCTCTTTTACCCATTCATTCAACAAATATTTGTTAAACCCACTAAATTCTAGGCATTTTTATAGGTGCTGAGGATATAGCAATGAATAAGATAGAAAAAGTCTCTGTATATGTTCATATACTGGTTAGTACTAGAAAATCTAACTAGAGGGGCTGGCGCAGTGGCGTAGTGGATAAAGCCGCGACCTGCAGTGCCGGCATCCCATATGGACACCGGTTCAAGACTCTGCTGCTCCACTTCCAATCCAGCTTTCTGCTATGGCCTGGGAAAGTAGTAGAAGATGGCCCAAGTCATTGGGCCCCTGCACCCACGTGGGAGACCTGGAAGAAGCTCCTGGCTTCAGACTGGCGCAGCTCTGGCCGTGGTAGCCAATTGGGCAGTGAACCAGTGGATGGAAGACCTCTCTCTCTCTGCCTCTCCTCTCTCTCTAACTCTGAATTTCAAATAAATAAATAAATATTAAAAAAAGAAAGAAAGAAAATCTAACTAGAACTGACTTAAAAAGCAAGGAAGTTTATCAGTTCATGTAGAAGAAAGTCCAGAGACAGGATGTGCTGTTGGGTTGGCTCGTCAGGAGATTCAACCATGTCATCAAGTACTTTCCTCCTGTCTACTTTGTAGGTACAGTGTTGAATTTATCCTAAGTGTTGTTCTACCAGATGTAGTGTGGCATATTTATTCACTCATGACCAGAGGGGGAAAAAGACTCGTACTTTCTGTGGCTCTTCAAACAGTAAGGAACAACTTTCCTAGAAACCTTTAGCAAACCTTGCTTTATATCTTCTTGGACCACTTGCTCATATATGAACTAATCGCTGGCGAGGAATTATGAGATTTTCTTCAGTCAATCACATCATTATGGGGATTTGGAGGATAAGAGGTCCAGCTTCTCTTGAGGCCTATGAACAGGGGAGGAATTGATACTTGAACAAAATCATGATTTTTTTTTTTTTCAAAGAAAGAAGAATGAATATCTGAGGACACTTCAAATGTGGAAAATGAAATTGAAAGATTATTTTGGGGCCAAAATTTTTTGAATTTACACATGTATGGGGTTCGAAAAGCTCATGAAAGTGTATATTATGAAAAAACTATGTGAATTTAATTTTTTTAAATACTTTATTTGAAAGGCAGTGTTACAGAGAGAGAGTGTCAGAGAGAGAGATCTCTCATCTGCTGGTTCAGTCCCCATATGGCCACAATGGTCACAGCTAGACTGGTCTGAAGCCAGGAGCCAGGAGCTTCTTTTAATTTTTTGCACTCTCATATAATCCCTGTTCCTAAGATTTTATATTCTAGTGGGGAGAGAGAAATAAAAAAGAAAGATGCAAGTTATCAAATGTTAGTAAGGTATGCAGAGAATATGAATGGTGATAACAAGGTGATTAAGTGGCTACTACAGATTGAATGTTTAAAGAAGATAATTAGGAGCTGGCGTTACGGCATAGTCGGTAACCCTGCTGCCTGTGATGCCTACATCCCCTGTGAGTGCCAGTTTGAGTTATGCTGCTGCACTTCCGATCCAACTCCCAGTTAATGTACCTGGAAAAGCAGCAGAAGATGGCTCAAGTGCTTGGGACTCTGTATCCATGTGGGAGGTCCAGAAGAAGCTGCTGGCTCCTGGCTTTAGCCTGGCCTAGCCCCAGTCATTGCAGCCATTTGGGGACTGAACCAGCAGGTGGAAGATCTTTCTCTCTAACTCTGCCTTTCAAATAAATAAAATAAATCTTAAAAAAAAAAAAAGACAGCATTTCACAGGGTATGCCATTTAAACTGAGATCTACAAAACCACATAAAGTCAATAAAGTGAAGATTTGGTAAGGAGTGTTCTAGTTGAGGGCAGCATTTCCTCAAAGGCCCTAAAGCAGGAACTGGCTTAGAGTTTAAAGAAACATAAAGAAGGCCAGTGTGGCATGGCAGGACTGAGACAGCTACACAGTGGGATCAGAGCAGGAAACAGGTCTGATGCAAAGCTTTGTGAATTCAGAATTTATTTCAGATGCAATGGGAAATCACATTTATCTGATTTCTGTAATTCGTGATGGCTGCTTCTTGGAATAGGTTGAAGTAGGATGCAAGAGAAGCAGGGAGACCAATTAGGAGGCTGTTGTAGTAATTCTGTTGAGAAAGTAAAGTTGCTTTGATTAAGGTGATATTAGTGAAAAATGAAAAGCAAATTCAGGCTGACTTTAGAAGGTAACAAGATTTTCCACTCAGTTGATTGTGAGGGATGAGGGGAAAGTAAAGAATCAAGAACAACTTCTTTGATCTGTGATGTGGTATCAAATAGATAAAACATGATTAGGGAAGTGCTGATATTTTCAAATGGTGAATAGTAGGAAATATTGTCTTTATTTTGTTAATGTTTGAAAATATTCATGATAACTAAGCTGTTTTTGACCAGTCATCTTTATTTCAATTCACAATACATCAGTATATTCAGAGTTTTTTTTAGGTGAACTGCAAGCATTTATATCAGAAATAAAATACTTTATTCTTTTTAAAGAATAATAATAAAAATTTTATTAATAAAATTCTTTTTAAAGAATCTAGCTTCTCATGCTTTTACATTTGTACCAGTCAGTTATTTGGAAACTCCACTGTCTAGTTGAGAATTGTGAAAAAAGCAGAGCAATATTTTAATATTATATCAAATTCTGACTTCATAGATCTGTCCACATTTATTGCTTTTTTAATCCCTTAAAATTTTATTTATTTTTTAAAGATTTTTATTTCTTTATTTGAAAGAGTTATACAGAGAGAAGAGACAGAGAGAGAGAGGTCTTTGATGGTTCACTCCCCAGTTGGCCGCAACGGCCAGAGCTGCGCCGATCTGAAGCCAGGAGCTTCTTCCAGGTCTCCCACACGGGTGCAGAGACCTAAGAACTGGGGCCATCTTCTACTGCTTTCCCAGGCCGTAGCAGAGAGCTGGATCAGAAGTGGAGCCACCAGGACTTGAACTGTCGCCCATAGGGGATGCTGGCACTCCAGGCCAGGGCGTTAACCTGCTGCACCACAGTGCCAGCCCCAAATACCTTAAAATTTTAATGGGCAACTGGCCACATGAGTGTTCACTAATTCTTCTGTGCTTGCTTGCTTGCTTGCTTTTTTTTTTTTTTTTTAAAGACTTATTTATTTATTTGAAAGGCAGAGTCACAAAGAGGCAGAGATAGAGAGATAGGGGTCTTCCATCTACTGGTTCACTCTCCAAATGACCACAACGGCTGGAGCTGAGCCTATCTGAAGGCTGGAGCTTCTTCTGGGTCTCTCACAGGGTACAGGGCCCAAGGACTTGAGCCATCTTCCACTGCTTTCTCGGGCACATTAGCAGGGAGCTGGATCGGAAGTGGAGCAGCCAGGACTTGAACTGGCCCTCATATGGGATGCTGGCACTGCAGGAGGCAGCCTTACTGGCTACACCACAGTGCTGGCCCCTGTTCACTAATTTAAGGGGAGTTTTTAAGGAGTCAGATATATCCCCCAAATTTCTAAGAACATGCCAAAGATTTTTCAAGCTTGCATTATTCCAAAGAGGTTTTTGTTTTGTTTTGTTTTTAAACCCTTTACCAACTCTCCCTGATAAAGGTGTCAGTGCCCAGAAATCAAGTGCAGCTCTTCTTTCCCAAATAAATTGTTTGGAATCACACATGAATGCAACGTGAACAGTGAAGAAGCACAAGCCTTCTGGTACAAGAATAAACAGTTTTTGCAAAACTGCTTCCATGTGTTTGCCTTGAGCAACTGGATGGATGTGTCATATTGAATTGGGGAAGATGAGAAAATAGGAGAAGAAATCAGAGAACATAGTGTGCTAAGTCAAGACATGCCCATGTAATAGAGATTTGTGGAAAGCTCCATGGAGCGATTAAGAACAGGAAACCATTTTGGAAGACCTCTAGGTGGAATAGTATAAAATACAGCTATTGGAAGATGGTTATCCCATCAACTCTACAAACACCTTGTCCCTTGCTGTTCAGGTGCTATGTCAAAATGGTGACTCAGCTTTGACTAACTGACTTCTATCAAGAATAATATGGAGTTGAGAAAGTAATTTACAGCTTCCTTCCCCATACATGTCTCTGTCACTACTACACTGTGTATTATTTTATAGTTTCTTGCTTGCTTTTTTGCTTCTTCAGTTAGGTAATGAACTTCTGAAGATCAAAGACTGAGTCTGAGTTATTATAGGAGCCAGAGCAGGTGCCTCAGCATATGTTTCTGAACATATGCCATTTTTAACTAGAAAATAGGAGTAGGACAAGAGATCACATCCAGAAATAGCAAATACTTCATTAATCATCATAGTTTTCATAATATTTATAGAGATACTCTCTCTCCTATTGCTATTTTTGTGATTCTTGTTTTCTCTAGTTTTTTCTTGGTTAGTCTACAAAGTTTTTTTGAATTTTGTTGATTTGTTTCAGAGCTGTTTCAAAACAAAGTTCCATTAACTTCGCCATTGTTTTTCTATTTTTATTGTGTTCAGTTGTATCTCTAACTCTTTTTGGGGTTACTTTGCTCTTCTTTTTCTAGTTTCTTAAAACAGAATTGTAGATTATATACGTTAAATTGCTCTTGCCTTCTTATATAAAGCCATAAATTTCCCTCTAAGCAATAATTGAGCTCCATCTCACATATTTTGAGAGGATGTATAGAATTGAAGATTTGTTTGATGATAAATACCTAGTGATAGTGAAATGAGTAGTGAGTACTGGAAAAGGAATATTCTGAGTCAAGGTCCTCCATTAAGGAAGGCAGAATGGGAAACCCTCATTCAAGAGAGACTAGAGGGCCGGTACCGTGGCTCACTTGGCTAATCCTCCGCCTGCGGTGCTGGCATCCCATATGGGCGCTGGGTTCTAGTCCCAGTTGCTCCTCTTCCAGTCCAGCTCTCTGCCATGGCCTGGGAAGGCAGTGGAGGATGGCCCAAGTGCTTGAGCGTCTGTCCCCACGTAGGAGACCAGGAAGAAGCACCTGGCTCCTGGCTTCAGATCAGAACAGCGCCGGCCGTAGCGGCCATTTGGGGTGTGAACCAATGGAAGGAAGACCTTTCTCTCTGTCTCTCTCTCTCTCACTGTCTATCTGTCAAAAAATAAAAATAAAATTAAAAAATTCAAAAGAGACTTGAAATATGCTCTTTCAGTTTAACAGAAAGTGAGAGAATCATTTTACAGAGGCAATTATGATTTAACAGATTAACAGAAAATGAAAACATGCTGGTCAGCTAGAGGCCCCAGAGAAATAAAGAATAACCGTTTGTAAACAAGGCCACTTCAATCACCCATGTGACTGAATTGGAATAATTAGACTAGATCTCACACGTACCAGGCCATTTCTTAGGTTTTCTTTTCATCATTGAGAGGCACTGTCCTTTTTGTCTTAAAATAGAGGTTCTCTCCACTCCCTTAATTCTGGATCCTTAGGCGTTATGCATGGTGACCCCAAGTCATGACAGTAGTGAGAACAGCAAAGCAAATTGGATCCAAGGTGCTGGGCGCATTTGCTGCAGGGACCAGCTTCCCATGGCAGTACAGCCTGAGAAGCAACAGAGTTGGCAGTGCAGTGGAACTGCATTGTCTGAGTTCAGTTCCCTGCACCTTGCATATAGCCTGGGGGAAGTTGTCTTTTTTTTTTTTTTTTTTTTTTTTTTTTTTGACAGGCAGAGTTAGAGAGAGAGACAGAGACAGAGAGAAAGGTCTTCCTTCTGTTGGTTCAGTTGGCGCGCTGCACCGA